ACGGCTGCTCAGCTCGGGCTGACTCGAACCGCTGTTGCTCAGAGCTCAAACTCTTGAGCGAGCTCTTAACCAACTGAGCCACTCGGCCGGCCACCACAATTTCTTAATCCAGTCATCTACTAATGGGCACTTAAGTCGTTTCCAAATCTTGGCTATTGTAAATAACACTGCAGTAAACATAGGGGCGCATATATTTTTTCAAATTAGCATCTTGGATTTCTCTGGATAGATACCTAAGAGTGGAATTGCTGGGTCATACGGTACTTCCATTTTCAGTTTTTAGAGATAACTTCATACTGATATCCACAGTGGCTGCACCAATCCTCAATCACACCAACAGTGCACCAGGGTTCCTTTTTCTCCACAGCCTCACCAGCACTTGTTTGTTGATTTATTGGTGATAGCCATTCTGACAGGAGTGAGGTGGTATCTCATTGTGGTTTTTATTTGCATTTCTCTAATGATTAGTGAGGTTGAGCATTTTTTTATATGTCTGTTGGCCATCTGTATGTTTTTATGCTAGTACTGTACTGTTTTGATTACTATAACCTTGTAGTATGATGTGATGTTGGGTAGCGTGATACCTCCGCTTTGTTCTCATTTCTCAAGATTGCCTTGGCTATTAGGGGTCTTTTATGGTTTTATATAAATTTTAGGGTTATATGTTCTATTTCTGAGAAAAATGTGCTTGATAGTTGGATAGGAATTGCGTTGAATCTATATATTATCTTAGGTAGTATTGACATGTTAACTATATTAATTCTTCCTATCCATGAACATGGTATGTATTTCCATTTATTTGTATCTTCTTTGATTTCTCTCTTCAGTGTCTTATAATTTTCTGAGTACAGGTCTTTTACTTCTTTGGTTAAATTTATTCCTAGCTATTTTATTGTTTTTGAAGCAATTGTAAATGGGATTGATTTCTTGATTTCTTCTGATAGTTTATTAATGGTGTATACAAATGCAACTGATTTCTAAATATTACTTTTGCTATGAATTTCCCTCTTAGGACTGCTGTCGCTGCATCCCATAGATTTTGGGTTGTTGTGTTTTCATTTTTGTTTGTCTCGAGATAGCTTTTGATTTCTTCCTTTATCTCATTTTTTACCTATTCACTATTTAGTAGCATGTTATTCAGCCTCCATGTATTTGTGTGCTTTCCGGATTTGTTCTTATAATTGATTTCTGGTTTCATAGCATTGTGGTTTGAGAAGATGCTTGATATGATTTCAATCTTCTTAAATTTATTGAGACTGGTTTTGTGTCCTAACATGTGGTCTATCTTGGAAAATGTTCCATGTGCACTTGAGAAGAATGTAAATTATTTTCCTTTGAGGTGAAATGCTCTAAAAGTATCAATTAAATCCAACTGGTCTAAAGTGTCATTTAAGGGCACTGTTTCCGTGTTAATTTTCTGTCTGGAGGATCTGTCCATTGGTGACAACGGGGTGTTGAAGTCCCCTTCTATGATAGTGCTACTGTTTAATCTCTGACTTTATGTTAGTCATAAACTGTTTTATATGTTTAGGAGCTCCTATGTTGGGAGCATAGATGTTTACTAGGGTTATGTCCTTTTGTTGGATTGATCCCTTTATTACTATGTAGTGCCCTCTTTTGTCTTTTATTGTTGTCTTCATTTCAAAGTCTATTTTGTCCGAAATAAGTATTGCTACTTCTGCTTTTTTCTCGTTTCTGTTTGCGTGAAATATCTTACTCCAACCCATTACTTTCAGTCGGTGTGTGTCTTTTCATCTGAGGCGAGTCTTTTGTAGACAGCATATGCGTGGATCCTGTGATCTTATCCACTCAGCCACTCTGTGTCTTTTGATCGGGACATTTATCTCATTCACATTTAAGGTGATTATTGATGGGTACATATTTCTTGCCATATTGTTATTCGTATTTCTGGTCTTCCTTTGTTAGTTTGTTTTCCCCTTTCTTCTGTTTAAAAAAGCCCTTTTAACATTTCTTGGAATGCTGGTTTGGTCATAATGAATTCTTTAGCTTATTCTTTTCTGAGAAGCTCTTTACCTTTCCTTCAATTTTAATTGCTAGCCTTGCTGGGTAGAGCAGTGTTGGTTGTAGGCTTTTGTTTTTCATCACTTTGAATATTTCCCACCACTCCCTTCTGGCCTGCAGAGTTTCTATAGAAAAGTCAGCTGATAGTCTTGTAGGAGTTCCTTTGTATGTAGCCTGCTGTCTTTCCCTTGCTACTTGTAGGATTCTCTCTTTGTCTTTAACCTTTGCCATTTTAATTCTTGGTGTGGGCCTGTTTGGGTTCAGCTTGTTTGGAACTCTCTTCTCTTCCTGGGCTTGTATGTCTATTTCCTTCACCAAGGTAGGGGACTTTTAAGCCATTATTTGAATATGTTCTGGATACCTTGCTCCTTCTCTTTTCCTTCTGGGCTTCTCATGATGTGAATGTTCTTGTGCTTGATGTTGTCCCACAGGTCTCTTAAACTATTTTCATCATTTTTTATTCTTTTTTCTTTCTGTTGTTCCAATTGGATGATTTCTGCTAACTTGTCTTCTTTCTAAATTGCTGATTTGGTCTTCTGCTTCATCTAATCTGCTGGTAATTCCTTTGAGTGTGTTCTTTATTTCAGTTATTGTATTCTGACTGGTTAGTTTTTATGATTTCTCTGCCCTCCTTTATGTTTCTGTCCCTTTGTTGAGCTTCTCACTAGGTTCCTTAACATTCTTATCATCAATGTTCTGAACTCTATCTCTGATTCATTTAGTTCCATTTCTAGAGGTTTCTTCTGATCTTTTATTTGGGACATGTTTCTTTGTTTCCTCATTCTGGCTGTTGCTCTGTGATTGCTTCAATGTATTAGGTAGATCACCTATACCTCTCAGTTATTGTTGGGTGGTCTTGTGTAGTATGTGCCCTTTGTATTTAGATTGCACAGCCTCCCTATTCTGTCCGTGTGTTCCAGAGGTGTCACTGTTGAAGTTGATCTTTAATGACTTTTGGCTTGTCAGAGGGTGGGATTGACCCTCAGGCTGATTAGCTGGGAGAATTAGCTCTGTTCACAGTGTATGAGCTGCTGTGTGGAGGTTGACCCCCTCAGAGAAGGTTTGGCCGCTACCATGTGTATTATTAACCCTTCAGCCTAACAATTCAATTTTTTAAAAAACCAAGCTGCCCAATTTTTCAATTATGTTCACTCCCCACTCCCAATGTCTCTCTGTGTGTGAAAAAATATATGTGTATTTTTTTTTCTAACTTTATATATACTTTTTTGGGGGGAAAGAAGATGTATAGTTGTATAAAGTTTTATCATGTGTAGATTTGAGTAACCATCATCATAATTAAGATATAGAACTGTTCCGGGCTGGCCGAGTGGCACGTTGGTTAAGAGCTGGCTTGGGATGCCAGCTCTGAGCAGCAGGTCCCTGGTTCAGATCCCACATGGGGGCCAGTGACACTGCCCTCTACAGCTAAGATGGTGAACAACAGCTTGACCTGGAGCTGTGCTGCCATGAGTCGCCAGCGACGGCGTAGGTTGCAGCCCCTGTGGCAGTGGGCTGCCATAAGCTACCGTGTGTGGCTGGCAACCAGTGTGAGTGACTGGCAGCTGGTGTGAGCTGCGAAGAGTCGCCGTGAGCAGCCGGCCAGAGGCCGGCGACCGATCTGCCTCACCCGGGAAGAGCTCAATGATAATACCAACATGGGCCAGTGAAGCAACGTCCTCCACAACTAGACTGAAGAACAAAAGGACATCAACTTGTCCATTCCCCTTCCCTGATTCCCGAACACTGTTCCCCTCCCCCAATTCCCCAATCTTTAAAAAAAAAAAAAAAAGATATAGAACTGTTCCATAACTATGAAGAAACTGCCTTAATAGTCACATTTTTCCTTTAATCCTAGCCTCTGGCAACCACTGATGTCTCTGTCACTACAATTTTGTGAAAGGTTACGTAAATGAAATTCTATAGTATGCTATCCTTTGAAATTTGCTTTTTAAATTCAGCCTTAATATCCTTACCCATCCAAGTTGTTGCATATATCAGTAGTTTACTCCTTTCCATAGCTGAGTAGTTTTCCAGGAGCATATATGTATTATTTACATATTTTCTACTCTGTTTCCCACTCTGGAGGCTAGATCTCATGCTCTCAGTTGCATGAGGCTATCCAAGCTCAGATCTTTTTTTTTTTTTTAAGATTTTTTTTTTTGTGTGTGGGGGAATTGGGAAAGGGGAACAGCCAAGTTGTTGTCCTTCAGTCTTAATTGTGGAGAGCACAGCTAGCTCAGCTCCAAGTCCAGTTGCCATCTGTCTGGCTGTTGGCAGGTAGCGGCCGCTCAGCTCAAGGTGTTGTGTTCAATCTTAGTTGCAGGGGGCACAGCCCACCATCCTATGTGGAAGTAGAATTGGCAACCTTGTTGTTAAGAGTGCACACTCTAAGCACCAAGCCACCCAGCCACCCATTGGCAGCTCTCAGCAGCTCAGCTCAAGGTGCCGTGTTCAATCTTAGTTGCATATGGGCATAGTCTACCATCCCATGCGGAAGTCTAACTGGCATCCTTGTTGTTAGGAGCACATGCTCTCACCAGCCGAGTCATCCTGCCACCTGTTGGCAGCTCAGCGGTAGCTCAGCTTAGGCACAGCTCGCTGGCCCAGGTGGGAATCGAATTGGCGGGCTCACACTCTTGACCAGCTGATCCACTGCCGGCTCTATGCTCCGATCTTTTGAGTGGTTATCTGGAGCCATCCAGAGACATCTATGGTTGATTACTGAAACCCATTTAATGTACCACTTACGTAATATATATAAAAGGTTCCCAATAAAGGGATAGTTGAAAATGAAGTGAGCAAGGTAAGGAAGGGGTGGACAGGAATGCACAGAATTTTTAAAATGTTCAGAGAAAGGAAAAGCTTAGCTAATTGTCCAGATTGTGTTTGTATATTTCTATCTTATTTTCACTGCATGTTCTTAAGTAGTTTGAGAATAAACCCTTGAAATTAGCAGTTTGTTTCATTTTATTGTAGCTTTTCTCCAGCATTCTCAAAGTATTCTCCAAATGGCCAATAGGTTAGTTATGCTAGATCTAGATCTGAGCCTTTGTTGATTTCTATAACTGGATTCTCTGGGGATGATGGTTTCAGGCCTGGTTATTGCAGTTCTCATTATTCCATATTAGAAGATTTCCAGAACACTTGCCCTTATAGCTATTGTAATACGAAGAACAGAAATGTATGTGTTCTACACTGCTGAGCCCTTCTGGGCCTTGTGGTTGGTATTCTTTGACCAACTGGTAGAAATTTTCTATTTCTTATATTTTGTTCTCTGGTTTAACCCTCTTCAGGATGTTGGAAAATTCTTATATCTGCTAATGGCCTGAGGTATTCCTGACTGTAATTTATCAGTGAGTATAGTCAGCTGAGTCTGAATGATTTAGAGAACACAATTCTTATCTTCAGTTTCTTGACTTGACCCTTATTGTCCTTCCTCTTCACTGTTCTTATCAGAACAAAATCATTTGACACCATTGCTGATGGACAAATTGGGAATAAAAAAAACAGATACCTGGAAGAAGTAGACACTGTTGTTAGAAATATGCTAAGACACAGTGGCTTTCTCACAGACTCGGTTTCTCACTAAGAAATCACTTAGGACATGACATTTGGAAGGACAGAATTGATTTTAGCTAGTCATTTCAGACAAGGGCAATGAAATCCTTGTGTTTAGTTCTTTAGCAGGAGGAAAACAACTAAGAGTTTTATATGGTTGACAGTACAAGCATTGGGGAAAGGTAAGGCCACACTTTTGCTGAGAGGAAATGAAAAAAGCATTGGATTTCTTTTCATGGGTTGTGGAATAGGTTGAGACATAAACATTAAATGGAAACTCTTAGGAAAATATGAAGCGCTATGGAAGTGAAAATATTTTCTAGGGTGAGAGGAGTTACTTTCAGAATAACGAAAGCCCACCTGAGCCAAGTCTAGGAAAGACCACCATTTTCTTGTATTTATTACTTTACCTCTTTGGAAATGAAAGAAAATTGTACTGAATTTTATTTTTTCCTTTGTCTTCCTGAAATTCTCAATGTGATGTTAAATTTTGAGGGACCAGTGGTTGATTTTTCTCTAGAGTGCTTTAAGATCTTAATTGTTTATGTAAGGATTTACTAATAATTATGTGATTTAAAAACAAAGTTTTAAGAATCATGTAGTTTAAAGTTGAACCAGCTACCACTTTCAGGTAAGAGTCTCAAATTTTTTATAGTAATAAAGCTATTGATATTTAGTTTCTTTCTTTTGTTTTCTCTAGAGGTTTTGCTACTTATTGATGAGTGCTTCAACTTACACGTTTATGATGATGTGGGAGTACAGCCACTATCTCTTGTTTCTTCAAGCAATATCTTTGTTCTTGCTAGATAGTTTTTCACTGGAACAAAGTGACAAGGTATTATGGCAATTTGAAATTATAATTTTAAATCCAGAAAATAAAATATTTTTATAGTGGTGTAACTATAACCATTTAGCTTTTAAGCATTATTTTAAAATGTTTTATTAGACTCTGATTTATACTTCTCAAAAGATTGCAAAATTCATTCTCCTCTGCCCTTTTAGAAGCACTTTGAAAATCCCCTTAAATTTAATCTGCTTAACCAAAGTCCCCCTGTGCTTCCTCTCCATTTCTCCTTCTGTTTTTGTTTATTTAGAAAAAAATGTAAAATATAGAACATGTACAAAAGAGTATATCTATGCTGTATATATAGTATCAGAATAAAATTTGAGCATTTGACCACGCAGGCCAAGAAGCAGAGCATTTGAATACCCCAGAAGCCCATCTCCCCCAGTCACATCCTGCCACCCTGCTCCTTCCCCAAGAAGCTAACTGTCCTGAATCTTGTTAGTTTTTTCCTCTTTTTTTCTTTATGATTTTTATTACCTATGTATTCCTAAATAATACGTTGTAAATAATGTATTGTTTACTCTTGCCTGATTTGCTTTTGAGATTCATCCGTGGTGATGTACAAAACTATGTTTTATTCATTTGTATTTATTTATATATTATAATGTTGGTGGACATTTCAATTTTTTCCAGTTTATTGTTCATGTGCTGCGATAGGCATTCATATACATGTCATGCGGCATAGGTACAAAATGTTTCTATACCTCATAAAGGAACTACTGGTCAAATGATATGTGCATATTCAACCTAATTAGATACCAAACCTTTGTCCAGAATGGCTATATCAGTTTATACTCCTGCCAGAGGTCTTTAAAAGTTCCCTTCAACATTTGGTTTCTTCTGTTTTTTCTTTTTCTTCTGTGCCATTTCTTATCTTTCTTTATTTATAAACACTGATTAAGTATTTAATATCTTGTCCTAACCAGAGTTTAGGAATCTTTTTGCTCTTCTCTTCTCTTCTCTTCTCTTCTCTTCTCTTCTCTTCTCTTCTCTTCTCTTTATCTCATATACTCAGGTGGTCCAAAATACTTGTGTGAGTACCAACATTTAGGTTATTAAAATAGAATTTAATATAATCATCAACCAAGTATAAAGTCATTCACTTGCTAAATGAAAGGGTAATAAGAACCTGAAAGGATCAAAGAGTTAGCAACTGCAGAAAGCAGCTACTACCCGTAGAGCTGAGGGAACAGAGAATTTAGAATTATTAAAACTTAGAGGAGGGACCCTGTGGAGGGGCCTGCTCAGCTTTGCTGGTGTCTCAGAACTAGACAGAAGAGTCCTGTGGAAATGGGACCAGACTTCTGAGGAAGGAGCCCTGGCCAGCTGCTCTTTGGGTCTCTGGGGCAAGAGAATGCATGAAAGCTGGTTATTTAGGGGTTGGAAAAACTTCAACTGCATTCAGCAGCTTCATGAAGGAATTGCTCTGTTTGAGTGAAGAAGCATCACTGAGATGATGCTCAAGGACCTGCAAGCAGGCAGGAAATAATAGGAAGGAACAAGCTCCTTCTTTCTCCTCCATCCTGTAACCTGTCTTGCATTTTATGTTGGGAGAGCTTAATAGGGAGCCAACCGGAAAAGCAGAAATGTATAATAGATTGTAGAGTCCCATCCCCAGCATTATGAGGCAGGGGATAGAGGAATAAGTTTGGAGCTAAGAGACAGTTACTCAATAACTGTAGAACCAGCATCCGAAATCAAGAAATAGAACATTATCAGCACCCAGAAGATCCCATTGTGCCCTCTCCCAGTCATAACTTCAGCCTCCCAGCAGTTAGGTATCTTTTTTATTTTTAAATGTCCCTCGCCTCTTCAGGATTTTTTGTTTGTTTGTTTGTTTGTTTTACTTTTAACACTCTGCCTTTTTATTTATTTCCCTCTTAACGCCTATATTTTGTCTTAATTTTCCCTTTCTAAAAGGAATTAACTTTATGATAGATTAAATTATTATACTAATAAATTTTAGAAAAGAAATCTACTAAGACATATAACTGTCCTGGGAGATCTTCTGTTAGGATGCTGAATTTAGCATTTTTATGCTCACTGTTCAGTGGACCATAATGCAAAAATATTTTTCTCTAGTGCTACATTTCATGGAAGTATGTTTTCACTGGGTAGATTTGGGGAACTTCTGCTAAAGATTATTACTTTCGATTTATGGAGTTTGATGTTGCATAGATGGATAAGTGAAATTAAGTCAGAGCCTGGGACTAAAGGTTTTTCCAGTCCGATTTAGATGTCCGTGGTTTTAAAGCTTTTAGCTTTGTTTGCAAGAGTTCTTTCTAAGAAGGTAGTAATAAATTCGTTACATTATCATAACATTAAAAATATGGATTGAACAGTTGCACAATACAGTCGTAAATTATAATAGAGCATTTACTTTATAATTATAGTCAAGTCTATTCTAAACAAAACTAATGAATATATATATACAATAAAGTTCATTTTATTCCCATTCATTTTATTTTTGTCCCAACAGGTTCATGAAGTTTATAAAACCTATATATTTTCTCTCTTTCTGGGATATTTACTGCAGTTTGAGAATTCAGCTTTACTGGTGTCTCCTTTATTAAGTTTAGTAGTAGCCTTAGTGCTTATTAAGTGCCTTCAGGTAATTAGAATTGCTTTTTTATCATTTTTATGGTGAATTACTTAATTGTTAGTTTTTTATACCTCACTTCTTTGTCCATTTGCTTCCCCTCCCACAGCTAAATGTGAAGAAAGGAACTTTTGTAGCTAAAATAATGAAAGTGATTAATTTTTACCTGGTATGTACTCTGACAGTGACATTGAATATTATAATGAAGGTGAGTAACTCTGTATCTGAGATTCATGTAGTAAATAAATTAATGAAATATTGTGGACTAAATTTTAATGAGAGTAATGAGATAGCAAGGTAATAGAGTTTGTACAGTATAATTTTGAGTTGACCAATGATCATGCTGGCATATTAGGTGAGAAAATAGGATTATGATTCTTTTCTCAATATACTTTAAAAAATACATATACTTTAGTTTTCATTTAATTTAAAATGTCATCATTACCCAATTAACATTAAGTGATATATGGATTAAATTGAGATGAGTCAAAGATGTTTGGAACAGTGGGTAAATTACTTAAGCCGAGTGGGATAAGATTGAAATCTTCTTACAACCCCATTATAGTTTTATACTTGAGTATGAGGTAATATGATCAACTTATGCTGATAAATCTCCTTGCTTCATAGTTATACCGTGTATTATTTCATTCATTTTTTTTAAAGGTTTTTTTTGGGGGAACTTGGGGGAGGGGAACAGTGTTGGGGAATTGGGGGAGGGAAACAGTGTTGGGAATTGGGGAAGGGGAACAGCCAAGTTGTTGTCCTTCAATCTTAGTTGTGAAAGGCACAGCAAGCTCAGCTCCAAGTCCAGTCGCGCTGCTCAGCTCAAGGTGCTGTGTTCAATTAGTTACGAGTGGTCGTAGCCACCATCCCATGCAGAAGTCGAACCAGCAGCCTCGTTGTTAAGAGTGCACGCTCTATCCACTGAGCCAGGCGGCAGCTATCCTGGTGGCAGCTCAGCTCAAGGTGCTGAGTTCAGTCTTTAGTTGCAGGCTGGCGTAGTCCACCATCTTGATCAGGCAACCTTGTTGTTAGGAGCACATGCTCTCACCAGCTGAGCCATCATGTCACCTGTTGGCAGTTCAACGGCAGCTCAGCTTGGGCGCAGTTCACTGGCCCATGTGGGAATCGAACCGGCGATCCTGTTGCTCAGAGCTCACACTCTTGAGCAGACTCTTAACCAACTGAGCCACTCGGCTGGTCCTTCATTCATATTTTTGGTTTTGTAGTCTTACTGTGGTTTATTTTTCTGGTATTGGACAAAATCATATTGCTGTAAGTATAGTTAATAGTTCTTTGTTGTAACTAGTGTTTTTCCCCTCCAGACATTTGTCCCACACAAAGAAAATGGGCACATGCTGAAATTCCTTGAAGTAAAATTTGGACTAAATATGACTAAGTAAGTTTTAAGATTATGTAAATTTACCTCTGTACCACTTAGAATAAAAAGAACAAAAATAATCAAAGGAAGAAGTATACCCTTAATTACATACCAATTAGGAAATAAATAATTTGGGCTATTATAATATCTAGAAGAAATCTAACATTGCATTGTTTTCTCTCATTAAAAAAATAAATCTCATTTAGGTCTTTTATAAGTTATATATACTTAAAACTTAATAGCATCACAGCATTTTGAGGCTACTTTCTCCCTTAATGAGGAATAATAATGTAATCTAATGTCAGGATAAAGAAAAGATTAAGAATGAATAAAGAACCAAGGTTATTTTAACCATTACATCTGGAAAATGCTTACATTAAAAAGAGGTGGACAGTAAGATATTTATTTCATAGCAAAGAATCTCATCTTAGGGTAATAATAGTGGATTGGATTAGAAGTTGACCTTTTTTTTTTTAAGGGTGAGAGAGAAACAGTTTTACCAGTCAACCACTGATGAGGATTTTTTGTTGTTGTTGTTGTTAATTTTATTGGAGAGCAGCCATAGTCATTGGTTACATATTGCAAATGAAATACATGATTTTATGTACTGACAGAGTTTACTTGTATAACAGGAAATATATATATATATATATATATATATATATAGTATACACATATATACATATATATATGTATATATATATGTGTGTGTGTGTATATATATATATTTTTTTAAGATTTTATTAGGGAATTGGGGGAGGGGAACTGTGCTGGGGAATCGGGGAAGAGGAACAGACAAGTTGCTGTCCTTTTGTTCTTCAGTCTAGTTGTGGAGGACATTACTTCACTGGCCCATGTTGGTATTGTGATCATTGCGCTCTTCCTGGGTGAGGCAGATCGGTTGCTGGCCTCTGGACTGCTGCTCACTGTAGCTCATGGCAGCCCACTGCAGCAGGGGCTGCAGCCTATTCCATCTCCGGCAACTCACGGCAGCCCAGCTCCAGGTTGAGCTGTTGTTCACCATCTTAGCTGTAGAGGGCAATGTCACTGGCCCTCATGTGGGATCCGAACTGGGGCCCTGCTGCTCAGAGCTGGTGTCCTAAGCCAGCTCTTAACCAGCGCGCCACTTGGCCGGCCCAGAAAAAATATTTTTACCTCCACATTTCTCTAGTTCATACAGTATACCTTAGAACCTTACCATCCTTTGCTGTGATTACATGGGATTTTAGATACTGTGCATGGGATTTCATGTTGTGATATATCACAGTTAACAAAGTATTTGACATTGTTTAAACAATGGAGAAGTCTTCTGAAGTATTAATCATATATGGATAATCATATATAAGATAAAATGATCCTTTAAAAGGCCAGGTGCTCCATAAGGGTAGGGACCATGTCCTTTTCAGGTGTATCTGTAAGCCTGACACAGCAGGCAATTAGTAAAAATTGATTGTAGACCTCCATAATTGACTGGCCTTTTCACTGACTTTCCCTTTAACCTTGGAAGACTCTAGAATGAACCTAGGCGCAAGGGCTGCTTTTGTCTAGTGTTTCTTAGTTGATGTTTTGTAGTGCCCCTTTGTTTAGTGTGTCAAGTACTAGATTTGCTTCACAAAGTAATGCACTAGGTGTTTTAAGAGTAAGACATGGTCCCTGTACTTTTGCCATCTCATTATATAGTTTTTGTATAGTTAATAACATCTGTGATATAAACAGCACATGCCTTATCCTGAAATATGCCAATTGGATATTAGGATTTGGAGATCATCAGAATTTCAGAAAACATTTTTGTTGAGACAGGCTTTCAACAACCACTAAAGAAATATTAATAAATATTTGTTGGATATGCAGGATACTCAGCTAGATACGCTGGGAGAATACAAAAAATGACTGCAGTCTGACACATGGCAGATTGCATTAAGCACTATAATTGAGAGATAAGTGAAATGCTATGGGAATGTGGGGAAGGCAAGATTAAGACTGGGGGATATGGAAAGAATACTTGTTAAATTGGGATTTAAATTGGACCTTTAAGAATTAATAGCTTTAATAGGCAGAAAAAAAAGAGGTGCATTTGTTGTAGGTACACGATATTTTGATGACAGCCCTTTGATAGAGCTGTATTACTATTTGACACATTGTGAAACTTTAACCTTTTATTTTAAATCCAGTGATTTGTGAAGCAAACATTCTTCAACTCTCTGTGAACACTCTTGAACATCACTCCATCTCTTACCCTCATTCCCCAGGGCAAGGGATTAAAGATAACATGGAGGTTAGAGATGGATTGGGAGTGAGAATGCAGACAAAACTACATATAACTAGGAGTCCTGTTGTTCATATTTAGTTTGGGTAAATAAAAAAAAAAGTTTATTCTTATAGCTCGAAAGCTTTATATTTCAAATTTTATGATTTCTGTCTTAATAATTAGATCTCTTTAAAATAGGTCCCAGTAGAGTTAACTCATCAACATCAATTAAGACTGTCTAATAATAGGGCCGGCTGAGTGGCGCATTGGTTAAGAGCAGGCTTGGGACGCCAGAGGGCCCTGGTTCGGATCCCACATATGAGGGCCAGTGACATTGCCCTCTACAGCTATGATGCTGAACAACAGCTCAACCTGGAGCTGGGCTGCTGTGAGTCGCTGGCGACGGCTTAGGCTGCAGCCCCTGCTGCAGTGGGTTGCCATGGGCTACC